CTGACCTTAAATTAGAAAGGTTATCCTGGATTATCGGGGTGGGCCCAATCATATGAGTGCTTAAAAATGGAAGAGGCCACAGAGAAGAAAGTCAGAAAGATGTGTCCTGAGAAGGACTTCACCTGCCATTGCTGGCTTTGAAGGTGCAGGAAGAAGGCCACCAGCCAAGGATGCAGCAACCTATAAATACTCAGATTGGTCCTCAGTTTACAGCCAGCAATGTAATAGGGACCTCAGTCCTGCAACCACAAGGAAGTGAATTCTGCCTATAACCCAAATGAGCAGGAAACAAATTCTCCCAAACAGCCTCCACAAAGGAGCATAGTCAGCTGACACCTTGGTTTTGTTTTAATGAGACCCCAATCGGATTTCTGACCTACAGAACTATGAGAGGATAAATGTGTGTTGTTTCAAACTACTAAGTCTGTGGTAATTTGTTACAGCAGCAATAGACAACTAACATAGTTGAGAAGAATTTGGAAATAAAGAGAGGATGAGGGGAACAAATTTCACTCGGGTAGAAAAGCACATGACATGCTGGGAGACCCAATAGGAACAAAGGTTAATAGAAGGGAGAGTGAGAGGCAGATTTGGGAGGTCCAGGTTAGAGAGCAGGGGTCAGCTGTCCTCTGCCTCTCTGAGATGCCCATATGGAAGCTACCTTCTGAAAGTGAAGGAGAAGGTTGTGGGGTGGGAAGGAGGAAAGGACTTCACCGGGAAAATGAATAACTGGTGAAAATGAGGCCGAGTTTTAAAAGGGTTGAAAACCCCCTCATGGAGAGGGGTAGTATAGAAAACAAAGGGAAAATGACTGAAAAGGCGACCAGCCAGCAGCAAAGAGCCAACTAAAGTGATCTGGGCCAGGCGGGGCCAGCAGCACTAATTGGCCCAGGAGCCAACTGAGGGGGTGATCCTCATCAACTGATGGGGATCGGCAAGAACCCGTGGTGAAAGCTACATGTAATCACGATCCCAGGAAAACAACACCCACCCTCAGCCCTCTTATTCTTCTAGATTAGGATTGAGTGGTGACAGATGGCAAAAACTGTTCAATCGTTCCTTCAGAATGAGAGCCTGTGTTCTTCAAAGTGGCCAGGCCGTACACAAGCCTTGTTTGTGTAAACAGCAGCCTATTGGCCTCACATTTCACCAAATCTAAAGAAAGTGAATGGCTGTATTGAATTCTATTTTTTTTTCCTTGTTTGTTGCTTTATTACATGAAGTTTGGATCAAATCCTACATTTAATATAAATACAAGTTGATCTGCTAAAATATTATGAAAAAGATCGTTAATTCCTAGTAAAGTAGTCATTCCTGAAACCTGAAATGTTCTGGTTTTTGATAGACTGCCAATGGCACTTTGTTTGGATTAGAATTAAGCATCTGCCAAATTGGAAACTGTAAAAATCTCAAAAGATTTTCTTACAAATTTAATATAAGATTTTAAGCAACTCTTCTCAAACACTCTAGCAAAAATGAGCATTTTCTACATTAAAAAATATGGCAAATTTATAAGCCAGTTACTTCCCACAAAGTTTGAGAGGAGGAGGAAAGAGAGATAGGCCAAAAATTACCTTATTTTCCTGATGCAACTTCAGAAATACATGTAGTTCCAGAATGGTGGGGGAGAGGGGAGCAATATTAGAGGTAACAGATTTTACCAGTCTCTAATCTACACTATGACAATCAGCCAAGCACATGTCAATGCACCTTAAGTCAAATAAAGAAGGATGGACCATCACAGCCCTTCTGGGAAGGGGAACCAGGAGATCATCATCACCATGACTTTCATTAATGAGAGGGGCCATGTGCCAGGCCTTTGCCAAACACCTTCTCAGATATTAATGAGCTCAAAAGAGCCATGGGAGACACAAGTCATATCCTCCTTTTTTTACAGAATAGGAAACCAGGGGCAGAGTGGATAAGGGTTTATTTCTCCCCAGCCACCCAAGGCAAAGTAGACCTTGTCATTCTCATTTTCATTACCCTGTTTTATTATTTTCTTAATTATGTCTATCTCTATCAGGAATTATTCAGTGTATCTGTTTGCTTCTAGGCTCCTGGATGATGCTTGATAAATATGTATCAGGTGGATGAAAGAACTTGCCCAAGGCCCCACAGCTGTTGGCACCAAGGCTAGCATTTGAATTCTCTTCTCTCCAAATCCAAAGATATCTACATATTTAAAGATTTTTTTTATTTTTAAAAAAACTACTTACTTAGTAATCCTATATAATAAAAAGCTAATATGCAAATAGACCAAATGGTGGAACAACCAGAACAACCAACCTGTCACTGTGACGTGCGCTGACCACCAGGGGCCATGTGAAGAACATGGCAGGATGGCAGGCATTGGCCACAGCGGGATGGTGGAGCAGGTGAGCGGGGGCAACAGACCAAGGCCAGGCACCAGTTACTGTCATCAAGGTGAGCCTCTGGTGGTTACTGAAAATTCTTTGCTCCACTGCACTGTGGTCCTACCTGGCACTTGCACCTGCTACCGGAGCCAATGCTTGCACCCACTGCCTGCGCCAGCCCCACTCGCACCCACTGCCAGCACCCAGCACTGGTCCTGATCTCTTGGTGCTGTCAGTGGATGCAAGCAGCAGCTGCCGGCCCAATTGCCCCTGAGGGCTTCTCCACCTCCCCCTGCTCCTAAGAGGTGATCGGGGCAGCAGCCACTGCTTGCAGCCATTGTCGGCGCCGACCCTCCTCATACCCGCTGCTGGCGCCGGCCCCAATCGCTCCATGCAATCCGCAGGTGTAAGTGGGGCCAGCGCTGTCAGTGCATGGGAGTGGCAGCAGTGTGGACTGCCAGTAGACAGGGGACCAGGGGCCATGGTGGAGGGGCCAGGTGCGGGCAAGGAGATGGGCCCAAACCCTCCCCTGTGCCCACCACCGCCTCACAGCCCACAGTTCCTTTCAAGGTGCACAAATTCGTGCACTGGGCCCCTAGTGAAATGATAAGATGTCTGGGATATGCTTTAAAATAACAGAGGGAATGGGGGTTGTGTGCAAACGAAACAAAATTGAACTGGGTTAATAATTGTTGAAGTTGGGAGATAAATAGGTGCAGGTTTATTGCAATATTCTCTACATTTGTATATGCTTGAAATTTTTCATAATAAAAGATTAATTTAAAAAACAAAGAGAACTTAGGCACTCATTTTTTTTATCTCTTTTCCTGCAATAATCTTTGCTATTGCCAGTGTAAATTTCATTCTCCTTATGCTATACTACCTAAAGAATTTCTATTCCCCTTATTGCCTTTTCTTCCCCATTTCTTTGACTCATGTATAGTAGGAAAATTTGTATTTTTCCCTGAACACTTCTACATATAAAATATTATCATATTCTCAATTTTGTTCAATAACAAAAAGCAGGAACTTCATTTCAAAACTGTATATGCACAACTTAGTGAGTTTATGCACAACTTTAATACATTTAATGGTTTAAGTAAATTTTTAAATTTATGTATCAAGAGAATTGCAACACAGAACACATCTGACTCATTATTTAAACTATTAAATATAACATTTCATTACTCACTAAATGTTCTTCTGAGATAAGCAAGCAAGCAGTAACACCTACTCAAGGCAATTACAAGAAATAAGACTGGCTTTACACTCCAAAAAATATATAAATGTATTGCTTTTGCTTTCATTCTTTTTTTGTTTTGTTTTGCTTTTTGGGGTTTTTTTGTTTGTTTGTTTATTTGTTTATTATTAGTTAAGGTATTACAAATGTGTCCTCATCCCCCCCATTAACCCCCAACCTCCCCCCCGCCCCCCCCCCCCCCCCCCCGCCCCGCACACTCATGCTCCCATCCCCCTGTTGTCCATGTCCATTGGTTTGGCTTATATACATGTATACAAGTCCTTCAGTTGATCTCTTCCCCTTACCCCCGCCCTTCCCTTCTTTCCTTCTGGGGATTGATAGCCTGATTGCTATTTCTCAGTCTTTGGGTCTGTCCCTTTTCATCAGTCTATGTTGTTCTCTATAATCCACAAATGAGTGAGATCATGTGGTATTTATCTTTCTCTGACTGGCTTATTTCACTTAGCATAATGCTCTCCAGTTCCATCCATGCTGTTGCAAAAGGTAAGAGTTCCTTTTTTTTACCGCAGCATAGTATTCCATTGTGTATATGTACCACAGTTTTCTAATCCATTCATCTGCTGATGGGCACTTAGGCTGTTTCCAAATCTTAGCTATGGTGGGTGCATATATCCTTTCTGAATGGCGTTTCTGGTTTCTTGGGATATATTCTTAGTAGTGGGATCACTGGGTCAAATGGGAGTGCTTTCATTCTTATTCTCATCATCTTTCTATCATTGTGACTATTTTCATTCTCTGATGCTTATTACCTGAACCCAAATGTTTTAGGAGCAGCAAGGTGCCCAGCCCCAGGGAGATGATCACTCTCTTCCTCTCTCTCACATCTAAGAATATCCCTGTAAAACCATCTGGCCAATGAGATACACATGAAAGTCCACTCAGGCTCTATCAAAATTTTAGTATTTGTTTACTAGGGGACAGAAGAAGTTGGCATGTCCTTTCCCCCAACACACACACACACACACACACACACACACACACACACACAGACTTCTCCCCACCTTGAATGTAGACGTGAAGCTATAACAACAACCTTGCAACCATGAGGATGGAATTCAACAAACATAGGGTAAATAGCCTGAAATAAGGTAAGAAATCTATGCACTTAATAGCATGACAGAATACCTGAGTCACTGCTAGCAACCATCTACCTCTAGATATCTGTTTGTATTCTTTAAGTCAGATCTTTCAATAGTTATAGCCAAATACACTTTTTTTTTCTTTTTTTTTCTTTTATTTTTTCATTAAACAGTCTCTGGGATGAGGCTGCATTCACACCCGCCACCTGCGGGCTCTGTCACTCTGTCACCTCCCGGCCTCAGTTCCTCACCCGCTAAGTGGACCCCTCGGTGGCTACCTCACAGGGTTGAGTGAATGACATCTCACATGTCTAGTGCTGAGGACTTGGCATATAGTAAGTGCCTGATATTATTTCTTCTGGAATTTTCCTTCCTGGGCAGCTTGGCTGGTGTCCCAAGGACTGATGTCATCCTAGGGACCAGGTGGCATACACTAACACTACCTGGATACTTGTAGGTTGGACTCTTAGAGAGGTCAGAGATGTGGTCCCTTCCTGTCTTGATGTCCTGCACGTAGATGCCCTCGTTCTGGTCCAGAGGGGGGCCTGGCGCTCTTCCACCACCTCCACCATGGCAGACCACACGTACTCCAGGGGGCCACGGATGAGCCAGTGGTCGCCAGCCTTGTGCGAGACCTTCTCCTCACCTTCCCCCTCCTCCAGGGGCTGCAGGGCCCTCAGCAGCAGCCCCTGCTGCTCCGACAGCACGTACACGTCCTGGATCCCTCGCTCCAGCCTCTCTCCCGGCTGGAGGAAAAAGGACTTCTCTCCCTTGACCACAAGCTTTTGCCCCATCTGGTTCTTGCCATCCTGTCCAACTGGGTCGAGAATCACACAGTAGTTGCGGGGGCCCAAGGTGGTGATAGACACAACCCCCAACACCTCCTCGTAGACATCGGGCACGTGGGCCTCCGTGTCCTGCACCGTCACCAGCCACTCCTCCCCAGTGCGGCGGGCCACTCCCCTTGAGTCGCGGAAGTTCTGCAGAGCCCGGAGGTGCAGCGCTGTCTTTTCTGTGAGGATCACGGCGTCCACCAAGTCCAGGACCTCCTCGAACACTGCGAGGAGGTACACACCCACCGAGCGGACCAGCCATTCCTCTCCCGTCACCCTCTCCTTGCCGTCCCGGTCCCGGCACTCTTTGCGGGCCCTCAGCCGCAGGGCCTGGTTCTGCCTGATGATTGTGGCCTGTATGATCTCTACGACCTCCACCTCCTTCTGCGGGATGTATGTGCCAGGTCCTTCAAATAGCCACTCATCTCCTGCGACTACCTTGTCTCCATTCTCATCCTCAAAATCCAGCAACGCCTTGAGATGGAGCGCCGTGTTGGGCAGAACCACCTGCAGCGGGGTGATGTCCTTTTCCAGAACCTCCCCTGGGTACAGGGGGAAGGGATCCTGGGCCAGCCGGATCTCCAGGTCAGCGTGGCGGAGCCGTACTTGCCCCGTGACACCGAACAGCACCGAGCCCTGTGCATCCCGGGACATGGGGTTGGCCACTGTGCAGTAGTGGCGTGGGGGGACGGTCACCATGCACAGGGGGGCAAACAGGACCCTCTCATTGTCCTGCCGGATGTAAGTCTTTGGCCCAACCACCACACGGGACACATTGCTGTTCTGGTCCAGCACATGGATGTAGTGGTAAGGGGGATGCGGATGATGGACTCTTCAGTTGCCATGGTTACACCTGTGCATCCAGAAGTGTGGCTGACTGCAGTGACTCTTCAGACTGGGGAAAGCAGGAACCCAGCCCCAGGGATCACTTCCCGGTAGCTCAGCGCAGGGCAGGGCAGGCTCAGGGTGGGGCTTAGGCATTTCAAATACACTTTTATAGTCATTTTTTTTTTTTTTTTTTGCTGAAAATTTTAAACTGCAAATAAATGTTAGCAAATTTCATAGAGAAAATGAGATTTTAAAATGAGGATGATGCCAAAGTAGATGGGCCTTACAGACATACAAGATCATGATTTTGCTCATATCATTCAGTTTACTTGATGGTTTCATATAACACCTCAGCCTTGTGGTTCTCTCAAAGGACTGTTTCACTCAGTACTCGTTTAGGGCTCTAATCTAAACAGTGGATGAGATGAGGTGTCATATACTTTACTATAAATAAAATAACATATTGTGCAATAAAATATGCACAGTGTTTCCACTATTTCATCATATCACTTATAAATTTCATAACCACCAAAAACAATTCCAGGTTAGTGAATTTTTCCCCTCTGCCAGTCACCAATCCTTTTCTGAGCTTCTCTTTTAACTTCTCACACTGACTCCCACCCACTAACACTCCATCTCCAATTTCTAACTCCTTCCCTCTAGAAATAATTGTTGGACTTATGTCCAGCCTATATCAGTTATTAGACTCTTTGCTCATCAAACATTCATTGATGGCCTACTATGTTCTCTGTTCAATGTGAGGTGGAGGTGCTTTAATATACTGGTGAGTACACTTGTCTGGTGGATCTGGTGGTCTAGAGGACACAGATTCTCTCTGAAATGTCATCTCTGTGCAACTAGTCATACAGTGCAACTTATTTCTATGTGGTTGAAATGAACATATATAAAGAAAGACAGATTTTTAAATGTTTTAAAACTTGATATTCCAGGCTTACTATTGCAAGTGAATAATTTGATGATGAACTTTAGATGCTTTAACAGGGTGAGAAGCCTACCTGGGCAAGAATTAAAATGGTTCTGTATGTTTTAATATACAGTAGAAGAAAAAGGTGTGTTTGAGTGTTTTAATTTCCTTCAGAGGGTATCAGCCATTTAGAAAAATTGCCAAATCTAGGTAATACACAAACACACACATACATACACACACATACACACACACACACACACACACACACACACACTGTGTATGTGTTAAAAATACATCAAATGTTAGCCTTAAAGCAACTTTAGGGATTAAAGTCCATCCCTATCCTTTGACATATTAGGAAACTGAATCCCAGAAAGGTTCAGTGGTTTGGTAAAATAACAAGCTAGAAGACACTTAAGACCCAATTATTTTACTCAGAGAAGAGGTTTATTATAGCAGGAGTTAATTAAATTAGATAGTAGAACAAGAGTCATCAAATCACAGCTGAAAACTGACTCTGGCCCTCTGTTGAAAGGAGATAATTAAAGAGAAAGGAAATAGAACTCAGTCTGCTATTAAGGGTAGGGGGCAGGCCCAGCAGTTGGTTTGAACCATGAGAAGAATGGACGCAAATACAGATGCTATAAGTTATTGACTCCATAGTTACAGCACTTAAGGAAGTAACTGTAATACATTTTCTGATAATGGAAAGTGCCTTGTTTAAAGGTATGCTTAGGTGTGCAAGACAGAATTTTGCCACAAATGTGGCTGAATGGTCTTTGAATCTAAGAAGCAAATCCAGCTGATTTGAAACTTTAGAGTAAGAATATCTCAGAAGCTCATTTATAAGAGTGGATACTAAAGACAGGTTACCAATTTGTTCCTAGGTGGTGTTTCTTTGAGTCACTCTCCATGTGATTATCACTGCTCTGCAGTGGATGGCCTGGGAGAGACCATCCACAGAGTGGTGTTTCTTTGAGTCACTCTCCATGTGATTATCACTGCTCTGCAGTGGATGGCCTGGGAGAGACCATCCACAGAGGTTCTCAGGTGGCATTCATGGATCTTTAGGGAATCTAGAAATGTACCAGGTTCCAATGTGTTTTCTGAGGAGAGAGGGTCCACCGTTTCATTAGATTCTCAAAGAAGTTTCTGACTCTAAAACGGCTTAGGATTCTATTATTAGACTTTGTGACTCCAAACTTACTCCATGGATAGAAACATGGTCAATGCATGAACAAGGCCATTGCACAGGTGGGCTTCTCCCAGCTTCTCTTCTTGAGGTGACCAATAATTTATGCCAAGCAAGTAGAAATGCAAATTTCACTGATTGCATTACTTTTTCCTAAAAGTAGGGCAAAAAGGTGAAAAAATATAAGTTGTCAACAGGTACAGTTTTGTACTTACTTGTAAGTGAATTGAAGTATAGACAAAATATAGTGCAGAAAGTGCAGATAAAAATCACTATTTTATCCGGTACCAGCAGCTTCCTCACAGTAGCATTTCTCGGCCTGCCCACAGTTGCCTAAGGTAATGTGAGAAAGCATGTGGAAAGCATGATTAATGGTTCCCACTTATCTCCTATTAAAATGCCTAGCGGCTTTTGAATATAGATACCTGAACATTTTAAATGAATTAATTTATTTTTATTAAAATCAGTGTATCCTAACACTAAATTGCTTTAGCACTTTGCAAAAAGTCTATAACACTAATTTATGAAGTGAGTTTTCTAGCTATGCTTGGCCTGGACATTTCTTCATGAAAGATTCAACTTTCTCTTTTTAAAGCTCAGAGCTTTTGTTTTTCCTGTATATGAATTCTTTCCCCAACTGGAAATTTTCTTCTACCTCCCTCATTTAAACACTGTGCTTTCTAAATGTGCCATGGGATTGTTTAGCATTATGCTGTCAGCAGTTCACAAGAAAAGAGTATATTTTATTTGAAACAGGATGAAAATGACATCTGTCATACTTCTGTTTAGTTTGTGAGAAGGGGGATATATGAATACAATGAACACTAAATAAAATTGACAAAATAAACATGGGCTACCTATAGAGTATCAGGAACTGTGGATAATAATAATAATAATAATAATAATAATAGATTGATCCCCATAGGGGATGTAGGAGGCAGCCAATTAATGATTCTCTCTCATCATTAATGTTTCTATCTCTCTCTCCCTCTCCCTTCCTCTCTGAAATCAATAAAAATATCTATAATAATAAAAGTGTAATATGCTAATTAGACTGGATGTCCTTCTTGATGAAGCTGGGCCTGCAAAGGAAGCCCAGGTCCCAGGTGCCAGAGGGAAGCCGGTGCTGGCAGCTGGGGGAAGGAAGGCCTACTCTTGCATGAATTTCATGCATCAGGCCTCTAGTATAATAATAATAGTTATAAGAAGGAGGAGGAGGAGAAGGAGGAAGAGCAGGAGGAAGAGAAGGAAAGGAGGAAGAAATGAAGGAGGAAGAGGAGGAGGAGGAGGAGGAGGAGGAGGAGGAGGAGGAGGAGGAGGAGGAGGAGGAAAAGAGTGAGTGTTTATCGGAGGATGCTCTATGCCAGACTCTTCAATGTGTCCTTTACATTGACTAGGACTCAACCCTCACCACAACTTTATGAGAAATAAACTATTTTTAAGCCTCATTTCATAGGTGAGAAAACTGAGGCAAAAAAAAGGGTAAATCCTTTGTCCTAACTCTTGCAACTAATAACTGATGGAGCTAGGACTTGAGCTCAGGTAACTCCATCTGTATATAGCCTGCATGTTCATACGCTGGAGATAGCACAGAAAAACAGGGAGGAATAGAGTCTTTAAATTTTTGTTTTCTAGAGAGTAGCCCAGTATTATAGAGAGAATTTTAAAACATTATTATTTTACTAGAGGCCCAGTGCACAAAATTCATGCACTCAGAGTGGGGGGTCCCTCAGCCTGGCCTGAGCCCTCTTGCAGTCTAGGAGCCCCATGATTGATTGCCCCAAAGAGGTAGGCCCCACCCACCCACCACAGCCTGCTGGTCAGTGGCCTGGGCCTCCCTCTATGGGGCAATCAAGGGCCCCCGACCAATCTCATCACACCCGCCTTGGCTAGCCTGGAGCCAGTGGGTGTCATAGCGTGGTCGTCCAGACGGTCATTCCACTGTTCGGTCGTTGGGTCAATTTGCATATTACACTTATATTATTATAGATGGCTTATATTTGTACAAGTAAAGTGACCTAGAAGAAAAGCAAAGGATGAGCTTTAAAACATTTTCTATATATTATACTAGAAGCCTGGGGCCCTCAGCCCAGCATACACCCTATCATAATCTGGGACCACTGGCTCCTAACTGCTCACCTGCCTGCATGCCTGATTGCCCCTAACTGCACCCCCCCACCCCCGCCAGCCTGATAACCCCTAACTGCCTCTGCCTGCTGGTCTGATAGCCCCTAACTGCCCCCCCTGCCGGCCTGGTCAACTCTTACTGCCCCCCTGCCAGCCTGGTTGCCCCCAACTTCCCCCCTCTGCTGGCCTGGTCACCCCTTATTGCTCCCCCCCCCCGCCACACTGGTCACCCCCAACTGGCCCCCGCACCACCTGGTTGCCCCCAACTGCTGCCCTGCCATCCTGGTCACCCCCAACTGCCCCCATCAGCCTGATTGCTCCCAACTGCTCTCCTGCTGGCCTAGTCACCCGCAACTGCCCCCAGAGGCCTGGTCACCCCCCAACTACTCCTCCTGCCATCCTGGTTGCCCTCAACTGCCCCCCTGCCAGCCTGATTGCCCCCAACTGCCCCCCCTCCCCGTTGCTGGCCTGGTCACCCCACACAGCCTTCTGTTCAGTCATTTGGTCATCTATCACTAACCCCCCTGCTGGCCTGGCCGCCCCATGCAACCTGCTGTTCAGTCGTTTGGTGGTCCCTCATTAACCTCCCTGCCAGCCTGGTCACCCCATGCAGCCTGCTGTTCATTCATCCATCTGGTTGTTCCAGTCATGTTGGCCCCTGGCTTTTTATATATTAGGATTTCATGTTACATTCAACTCCACATTTACTAAATAATGTTTCAGAATAATATCTGAAATTTTGTGAATTGCTCACATAAATCCCTGTGCTG